AGCTCTGTGCCAGCATATCCATACATGGAATTATTTTAGTAATAAAAATAGATCTGTATTCCTTTTTTGTTGTTCTTCTTCTGAACATAGTGAAGCCAGTGCAATTCTGGAAAAGTAAATTAGATTTTATGCAAGATCTCACATCATAGGTAGCAGAACTGTTAACTAGATTTCAGAGGACACATATTCTCTCCCCTCCTCACATCTATCCAACAAACAGTTAGTGGGGATTCCGCAAGAGACACTGGAGGCTGGATCTGAGGCTATCTGAACTGCATGGACAAAACCAGGAACAAGAATGACTTTCAAGACCTAAATTGTTTTAAACCATTTCTGAGAATGCTTAAGCAAGAAAGCCCATGTTTGTTCCTCAGACCTCATTTTAAATCTGTGGTGCTGTCAGCGATTAAAACCACCATTTTCATAAACTGAATAAATTAAATTTAAAAGCACCCAGGTATTACAAACAGATGAAACCGTACTGACCAATTCACTTAAGAAAGATATTTTTTTTCTCCTCAGATGAATCTGATTAATTACTAAATACAGCACTTATTTTTTAAGAGAACTATTAACTCTAATACTTTTCACTCATCCCCTGATGTTTAAAGATTATAAGTAATATCTATTACAAAAGCCTTTAGGAACTGTCCTCCACGGTGACTTTTTTTTAATTTATTTTTTAAAAGAAACCTTCAATTTCAGGAATTGCTGGCGAGTACGACCCAAGGCAGGAGTGTCCCTGTGGGAGCTCTCTCTGTGCAGGGGAGCCGGCGTGCCGGTGCAGCCCTGCTCCCTCAGCCGTCCAGCCTAATACATATTTATTTATCTCTTTGATAACAAAAGCTGCCCCCCCCCGGCCGATTTTTAAAGACATTACTTTGTGTTATTTGATATTATTTTTTTCTGAGGACTTTAAAAAGACGCCCCTTAATCCCACCCGAAAAATACTCCCTCCCGAACACCCCCGTACAATTTACAGAGAGCCCTGACCTCCAGCCAGCGGCAGGGGTGAGACTAATCCGACTACTTTTGCTTTGTTTCCCCTCTTTTCTCTCCTATTTTTTTTTTTTTTTTAATCTTTCTAAAGTCGGCTCGAGGCCGCCGGGGCAGCGGCGGAAGGTGGCTGGTTATACCGAGCAGCACCCGCGGCACCATCAATCATCTTTAGGCTGAAAAAAAAAAAAAAAACCAACCAGCTTCGGGCTT